CTATAGGTCACCCACAACAACAGGATCCCTAAATAATTATAGGTCACCCACAACAACAGGATCCCTAAATATCTATAGGTCACCCACAACAACAGGATCCCTAATAACTACATGTCACCCACAACAACAGGATCCCTAATAACTGTAGGTCACCCACAACAACAGGATCCCTAAATAACTATAGGTCACCCACAACAACAGGATCCCTAAATATCTATAGGTCACCCACAACAACAGGATCCCTAAATAACTATAGGTCACCCACAACAACAGGATCCCTAAATAATTATAGGTCATCCACAACAACATGATCCCTACATAACTATAGGTCACCCACAACAACATGATCTCTACATAACTATAGGTCACCCACAACAACATGATCCCTAAATAACTGTAGGTCACCCACAACAACAGGATCCCTAATAACTGTAGGTCACCCACAACAACAGGATCCCTAAATAACTATAGGTCACCCACAACAACAGGATCCCTAAATATCTATAGGTCACCCACAACAACAGGATCCCCAAATAACTATAGGTCACCCACAACAACAGGATCCCTAATAACTATATGTCACACAATACAACAGGACCCTAATAATTATAGGTCACCCACAACAACAGGATCCCTAATAACACAAAACAACAGAGTCCCTAATTAGAAATGGTCACACAAAGCAACAGGATCCCTAATAACTACAGGTCACACACAGCAACAGAATCCATAACAGCTTTTGGTCACACATAACAACAAGATCCTTAATAATATATGGGTCACCAAAAACTTTAAACAGAAATACGTCAATATTACAATTAATCCCATTAATTACCGCTGTAATCTTACATAGCACACGAATGATTTCACACATTTTGTTTTAGTAAGTTCTTTACAACGAACATTGTGACAGGTAAAAACGTAAACTTACTGAATATGATACAACATTCTAACCCTACTGGTGGCGAATAGTATGAAACAGTCGATAATTTTAGGGGGGTTAAACTTGTTTAGGTTTACCTTTTTCGTCCCATCTTCGCTGCCCTCGGTTGCTACTCTTGACCTTTGGTTATAGGTTGGGTATTCCATAGGCGGCAGTGCACCCCACCAAGGAAATCCCATGGGTATCCAAGATGGAATCATAGTAGTTGGAGAATTCGTAGTCAAGGGGAACGGGGTGTAGGTTGTTGTTGGGAACCTGTGGATCGGGGAAATTGGCTGATAGGAAGATACTGAGGGTGTAATCTTCTCAGGAAATTGAGGTAGGCATTCAGCCCTACCAGGATGCGAAACCCCTTGCTGAGTAGTAATAGAAGAGGTTGAAGTGTAGGTCTTTGGTGTCGTGAAATAAGTTCCATTCTCAGGAGGAATGACATTATTCAGGTCTGTTACTGGGGTGACAGATGGCTCTTGTTTAGAGGACGCCATACTTGTAAATGGTAACGAAGTTGTGGAGCATTGAGGCACGTAGCAGGTGGATAGACTGGCAACAGAGAAATCTGACAGCTGTAGCGACACGTTGGTCCTCGGAGAAAAATTTGGCTGATTAGTCCCTGTGATCACAGCTTCTGCTGAGCTTGAAAGATCTTCAACCTTTGTTTGTCCACTACCTTTTCTGACTAATTTCTTGGTCAGACGTTCGTGTCCTAAATCTCTGTCGATGTTCACACCTGTCGTTTTTGATATATGGAATTCAGCACTGGTCAATGGATCTTTTTGAAGAGAATCAGAATTGTTTTCAACATGCTGTAAGGGGCGCACAAGGCAGGTTTCTTTTCGAGACATTTCTTTGCGAGACTTCGCTGATTTTGAATCCGTGCGTGTAAGGCAATGATTTATTTCAGACTCTTGGGAATGTGCAGATATTGGCATAGAAACTTCCGATTCTTGATTTAAGACAGCATAATTTTCACCATTACTTTTCAAGTCCGGTTGGGATTTAATTTCCACCCGTTTTGATGGTAAAACTCTTTGTTTGAAGATTTTCTTCATAACTTCCTTTTTGTACTTTTTAAAATGAAGAATCAATAAACGTTCCTTTTCTTTCTGTGCAGCCATCATGTCCAAGTAAAGTATTTCTTTTCTCAGTTTTTCGATTTTGTCTTTCACAGCTTGGGGGTCTTTTGCCCATAATGAGGATTCCTTCCAGCCATCCTTTTCTACAAAGATTGGATTTTCTTCAAGTAATATGGGAGTCTCATTTTCTTCTGTCAGTGGTAATATACTCTGCTCATTTGTCTCTGGTAACAACTTTTCTATTGAATGAAATTTTATGTCTTTAATAAATCGCAAGTTGTCCACAGGTTCCATAGTCGGTTCATTACAAACTTTGTCTTCTTCAGGTTGTTTGTCAGTTTGATACAAAGAGTTCTCTAACCCGTTCTCCCCATCTTCCAACAGAAGTGTACGTAAAATTGATTCTTCGTTCGTAACATCTTGTATTATACAGCTGTCCTCGTTGATCAACTTAATGGTTTCGTTTTGGAGTAACGCAGATGTTGGTTCTTTCTTGATGGACAACTCCTCAGATTTTAAAGTGCGAGATTCTTGATGCACAGAGTTCACAAATGAAGCAGGGGAAGGAACTTGTCGCCCCGATTCAAGTAGAATGGATTGCTTTTGACTGTTTTGAATCTGGAAAGCGCGTTTTGGTGGCTGTCGTACTGGAGCATCAGATGACTCGGACAGTCGTTGGATTTGTGGACGAACTCTCTGGACCAGAGCTCCCGGTTTAGTGGCCGATCCCGTTTCTTTTTCTATAATTGAAACAAAGATATTTGAAATGAGCTATCATATAAGTTAATAAATCTATCCCCATTTTATACTGAAATGTTATTTTGTGTACTTAACAGAACTGTCATGAAGAATAAGTTATCCGACTGTTAATAATATTTTAATAACATTTATTGACCACGAAACAATTTTCACACGCGTTGTATGTTTAACAAAAGTTACTTCTTAGTAAGTATTTATCATCCAGTAATAAGATGTTACTATAGATTAATTGCAGATTCTCGAAGTAAATTCAAAGTTTGGAGATAACGGTACTTAGCTTAACACTATATTAATCATTGAAGAAGTCAAACAATCCTAAAGGTGGTTTACCGTAAAAAACAGCATCAGTTAATTATCACCTGCAAAACCAATTAATACAGTGCACGTTGCATGCTAAAGATTGAATTCGTAGTATTTAATAGTATGTTAATAGGCTAAATAATTTTTCATCACCCTCAATGAACTCAACTATTACCATTTCTAGGGGGTATGGTGAGATCAAGTGGACAGTCTTCCTTAAGTTCAGGCGAAACGGCGTCCGTTTCTTCGAGTTTATCAAAGGAATGGCGACGCCGATATTTCGGCGGTAGACTTGCTATAGGTAAGGAGGAAATAAAAGTACTTAGATGTAATGGTTCGTTTTTTTTCGATAAGTCCAAATGAGCCTTTGTGATACTTTCTTCTCTTGTTTCTTGTAACGAGTTGGTTGTAGAACAAAGTTCTTGGGATAAACTTTCACGACAATATTTTCCTTGAAGACTAAGATGGACATTTTTGCAGTTTTCATTTGGGAGTTGATAAGATGTTGTTAAACTCCTTGTTGGCTCCGAATCCAAAGACTGATGTGATGTTACTGCGGTCTCTTTTGGCCTTGGGTTTAAGGAATGATGTGACGGTATTAAGGTCTCCTTTGGCTTTTGGTCCAAAGTGGGATTTGATGTTACTAGATCCTGTTTTGGCCTTGGGTCTAAGGAATGATGTGACGGTATTAAGGTCTCCTTTGGCTTTTGGTCCAAAGTGGGATTTGATGTTACTAGATCCTGTTTTGGCCTTGGGTCTAAGGAATGGTGTGACGGTATTAAGGTCTCCTTTGGCTTTTGGTCCAAGGTGGGATCTGATGTTACTAGATCCTGTTTTGGCTTTGAGTCTCGGGACTGATATGATGATGCTAGGGTCTTCTTTGACTTTGGGTCTCGGCACTGATATGATGATGCTAGGGTCTTCTTTGGATCTGAGTCTAGAGATTCAATTTCATTATGTAGTTTGTTAGCCGTTTCCAGAGATCTTGCTTCACTAATAATAAAATAGATAAATAAAGTAGATAAGTAAATAAATAAGCACAGATGTCTCATTAATTAAGATGTCAACTTCTTTTTCAACGTATTAAAGATATAATTCGTTACTTCAAAACTAAACGAAACTAAAATTACCACCGTATTCAGTCTAGGAAAAAACCTTTACAACGAAACTATTAGCATGGTAAGCATGTTTGTAACCTTTCGGTTGTTTATATGTGGTAGGATAACTTACTAAGATCTTGTATGCTTACCATATAATTTCTGTGTTTAGGCAACCGAAAGGTTACAAAACAAGATCTTAGTAAGTTATCCTACCACATATAAATAAACACAGATATTATATGGTAAGCATACAACCGAAAGGATACAAAACAAGATCTTAGTAAGTTATCCTACCACATATAAATAAACACAGATATTATATGGTAAGCATACAACCGAAAGGATACAAAACAAGATCTTAGTAAGTTATCCTACCACATATAAATAAACACAGACATTATATGGTAAGCATACAACCGAAAGGATACAAAACAAGATCTTAGTAAGTTATCCTACCACATATAA